CGATTTTGCTAATCGGGAGTTTTCCTCATCTACGTCAGTAGATCGTCTCCTTGGCGAGTAAACCTAAACACGGCAGGTACGCACGGCAACTTGCTATCGCTAACTCCCGCTTTGCCCTAATTCATTCCAGATTATTTTTTGGTTTTGCTACAACGTGATTCTGATTCCACGTACGAGCACTACTTGTCTGAAATTGGAACTTAATTTCTAGTCCTGTTGCTGCATCGTAAAGCCTTCGATTCGAGCTACTGTTGACAAGTTATCGATCGATCTGTTACGAACTTACGATGGTATGATGGTGTTAGAACATTTGATGTAGATTGGCAATGGCGACGAATTGTCCCGACGAGAACGACGGCGTGGCCGGCCATCCCGGCGCTCCACCACCACCACCGGCACAGCCCACCCCGGCGCCGGACCCCAACTCCTTGCCGTCGACGCCGCAGCAGTCGTCCCCGTCCTTTTTCTTGCCACCGCCGTGTAATTATCCGTCGCAACCAGATGAATGGTCGAACATCTCTGCGCTCGACAACGATGACGCCATCAATGCCAGCGTTTTCAGCTATATCGATTATCTTAACCCCTCACTGCCGCCTCTGTTGGACGACACCCCGTTTGCACCCTTCGTGCAGCCGGCGATGCCTCCGCCGTCGCAACAGCTGCATCGTTATCCATCGCAACCAGATGAAGAGTCGAGCATCCCTGCGCTCGGCAACAACGACGCCATGAATGCCAGCCTTTTCGGCGACTCTTATTTTAACGCCTCCTCACTGCCGCCGTTGAGCGCCACCCCGCTAGCACCCTCCGTGCAGCCAGCGACGCAACTGCCGCACTACATCCAGCAGCTACCAGCCATGGCGACCATGGGAGAAACTCAGTACTGCTACTCCGAAGCCGCTCCAGAGCACGCCGTACTCCCGGACGCGCCACCACCGCCGGCAGCTGAAACCACCAAGCCGGCCGGAGGGCGGCGCTGCGGCCGGCCTCGTGGCAGCACCGCAAAGTCCAAGCCCAAGTCGAAGGTCGCCAACACCGCCGCTGCAGCTGGGCGCCGGCAGCAAGAAGCTGCTACCGCGTCTGCCATCATCGCCCGGCAGGAAACCGTGGGCGCCGGCAGCGCGGAGGTGGAGGAGGAGCAAAAGGTGGTGGAATACGCGGACACGAACATCCCGGGCGTCCGGTTCAAGCCGACGGACGCGGAGATCATCTGGTACCTGGAGAGGAAGTACCACGGCCACCCGTTGCCCGTCAACTTCATCAAGGAGTTCGACGTCTTCGAGGACCATCCCGACACGGTCCAAGGTAATTAATCAGGCACTCCGCACTCGTATTTTTTGGTATATTTTGATCATGGTTAATTAATTAAGGCTTACACGAATTGGAGTACAAAAACTTGTGATACTTCATCAACTCTGCATCTTTTTACAGAGAAGTACGGGGAGAGCCAGGAAGGGGTATGGTACGTGTTCTCATCCAGGGACCGGAAATACAAGAACGGCACCCGGCCAGTTCGGTCCGTCGGGACGGTGGGCTTCTGGAAATCCAGCGGCAAAGAGGAAGATGTACTAGACAAGAATAATGTCAAGATCGGGAGAGTGAACACTCTCACATTCAAGCTCGGCCACCAGCCAAAGGGGACGTCCACCCCCTGGAGGTTGAAGGAGTACCGCATGGAGAAGTACCAGGAAGACCCTAATCCCTCCTCCATGCTGGTAACCTTTTCTCTTTTTTTTCTTCTCTTTTGCAATTTGATTCTTATACCAATGTGGTATAATTCGGAGGTTCATAACTAATTTGCGTACAATTCACACACAAAACTAATTTGAGTATGAAAAGTATATGTTTTTCAGCGGCACAATTTTTCGTGATTTTTAATCCTCCAGGAAGTAACTGAGAGACGTGACATTATTTGGTTTTTGCCTTTTCCATTGTCGTGCTTTAGAAATCCTACTACTAATTCAGATAAGCCCTGAGAATTTTACATATACTCCCTCCGTCCGAAAATACTTGTCCTAGAAATGGATAAAATGGAAATACTCCCTCCGTCCGAAAATACTTGTCCTAGAAATGGATAAAATGGAACATGAATTGTAGTACATATTTAATCCTCATGCACTCGATCATATTCCTCCAGTTTAACCGCGCCGCTGAAAAGTTGTTCGCTTTGCTGCAGCTTGACCCGTGGGTGATCTGCAAATTGTTCCGTGCTAAAGATCCACCAGCACGCCAGCATGATTTGCATGTTCAGTCGGGAGATCAACCATATGAGGGTGATGAACACGCCAGCGAGGCAAATGGCCGCGGAGGCGAAGACGGGAATCAGCCGCTGAATGGCCCTGAACCAGAGCTGGGCATGGAAAACTGCTACTTCTCACTTGATGACTTTACACATGGAGATCCCAAAGATCAATGATCGTCAGAGCGATTGGAGAAACCAATAGAGGTTTTTAATCTGAATATGTGGATGATAGTTAAATTTAATTTAATTTAGTTGGCAGTAGAAGTCATAGGATATCCTCTTTGTTCTTTTCCTGCATTTCATGGTCGGTCCATTTGGACTATGTGGCAAATGAGCCTTGATAAAGCCAGCAAAGGCTTAAATTATATCGCGTGTTCTTTTGGATCATTTGTAGTATCAACGTTACCTGCATTACATGACATTAACTATGCACAACTCAAAGATCAAAACATGAAAAATGTATGAGTGCACCGTCTTGCTATTCCTAGGATAAACTGTACCAAAGAAAAAATATATACCTTTTGTTCCATTGTCACCGTTGAAACAATAGGCACGAACCCTCTCTCCCTACGTCTGTCGCAGCATAAGTTCAACACATGTGAGCCGTTTATCTTGGCTGCATCCAACGGTTGTGAGTGCTTCTAAGGGAGGTGGGGAGAAGAAAACCCTAGCCACTCCACCCTTTACGATGGCATTGTGAATTTGAGAGAGTGGGAGAGAACACAAGTGCACACACAACCTGTGAGAGGGAGGAAGAAGAAGGATAGGTGACTATTCAGGTTTGTTGCATTTGATTAGAGGTGTTCAAGTTGGTGATTGAAGGCTCAAACGGTGTTTGATTGGCACCAAACTTGGTAAGATCATTCCTTACTTTGACCACTTCAATTTGATTAGCTGGTTTGAGGATTGGGTCAGTGGAGCATCTAATTTGATAGTGGTTTTGTTTGTCCGGACTATTGCAGTTTCATCACAAAGTAGTTTTGGGAAACAAACATATTGGGTAGACAACGATGTCTGATTGAGCTTAAATATTGAGAGGAATCTCAAGGACTCGTATGTGTATTTGTCTGCCAAAATTGGTGTTGCTTGGTTAAGAGTCCAAGAGCGGCTTGCAAAATACAAAAGGGGGCAGAAGCCGTGTAAATTCTGTTTTGCTGAAATATTGCCTCTTTGTGGTTTTTGTTGCTTTTTCGGTTGCAAATGTGGAGAGGAGGTTGTAAATCTCTAAGATGTTCTAGAGAAAACTTTGTACTCACATTATTCTTATAGTGAAGTTGTGTGGACCGGTTGGTCCACATCCGTGGTTTTTACTCCTTAAATTGAGTAGGTTTTCCCATGTTAAATACCATGTTACATGTGCATGTTGTTTGTGTTATCTTGTTGCTTACTTGTTGGTTGAAACTATCATCAAAGTTCACTACAAGTGGAGGGGATTGATTAGTGTGCATATTCATCGTGCCGGTGAATTGTTGCATTGATTGTTGTTGTTCATTGTCCATCAAAGTGGGGTATAACAACGGTGCAGCCGCACCCGCAACACAGCAAGATCTCCTCGCCCCGCCCTTATTATGGTGGGGCTTCTTCGTATCGTCGAGAGGCGTGGGGAGGATCGTGTGTCCCAAAATATGGGCTCCGGATATTTCTAATTACTATTGTTTTATTGTATATAACGATATTAACCGTGTGTGCTACAAGTACAGTTACAATTTCACTACGCGCTTCTAATTCTACGAATGCTATAATGTTGGAGTAGAACATCTTTCGTCCAAATCTAAGTAAATGATAAAAATTACAATCATTATAAAAAGAATTATGCATATATGTATTATTGTGTGTGTGCGGGCACGTGCGCGCGTGTGCATGTTTATTTTAGTATCCTACCATCCTCAAATATCTGGATGTATTACAATACACGATTTTTTTGTGTAGCTTGCAATTCAGGGTAAATCATAAAATCATACGCACATATACATTACATCCTTATGTGTGTGTATATATATTTTCAGTTCTTTTTTAAACTAAAAGGATTGATTTTAATTTTTTTTAAATAAAAGGACTCCATGTAGCTCGGCCTTCAAAACACCCAACTCCACGGTTGTTTAAAATTATTGCATAAACTACATGCAATTTAGTAAAATAAACTACATATTAAATGTAACCCACTTTTTTGAGTTTGTTTATATAGATGTAACTCAAAAAGTATCATACTAAACGATGCACCATGCGTTGTTGCAGGAATCTTGCTAAAAGAAATACATAAAAGTTGATAACAACATCTAGAACTAATGTGAAGAAAATTTAAGATTAAAAATAATATAAAAATACAATGAGTATAAGAATAGAAAATGTGAATTTGTAGTTAAAAGAATGACATTTCCAAAAAAAATGTAGAGGGTGAACTTCATGGGTATGATGCAATCGCCCAACACATGTATTGTGAATACAAAATATAATTAAAAAAACTTATGAATAACTTGCATAAATTGATGATGTGACATGGTTGCCCGTAATTTATGATTTGCATGCATGACTTCATGGTTGGGTGTCTAGAAAAAAAATAGGCAGTGGGTTATAGTAGTATCTATTTAGAAATAGAAGATTCTGTGGACGGGCCTGGGCCTGTAGTACCCACCCGGCCCATCTACGGATCCACGGAACGCAACCCTAACCACGAATACGAGAAGGAGGACGAGGAGCGGACACGCTTCCTCTGCTTGGAATCGGATCTGGTGCGAGGAGGAAGAGGAAGAGGAGGAGGAAGATGAAGGTCCGCGCATCGGTGAAGCGGCTGTGCGGATTCTGCAAGGTGGTGAAGCGCCGGGGGATCGTCTTCATCCACTGCACCTCCAACCAGAAGCACAAGCAGCGCCAGGGCTTCTCCACCATCGCCGCCTGCCTCCCGCCCCCGCCCCCGCCGCCCGCCTCCGCCTCCGCCGCCGCGTTCGCCGAGTAAGAAGGCTTCCCCGCCCCCCTCTCTCGCTCCACGCGGTACGTTTTGTCTTTTATCAATCGTACCCGCGAAGCAGCGCGGGCTTGGTCTGGTCGTGTGCTCGTGATTCGTAGGACAAATTAAGGTTGCGAGTTAGAGCTAGTGATGATGGGATTGAATCTTATCCTGGTCCCTAAAGAGGCGCGATTGTGAGCATGTTTAATATCCAAGTGGTGAACAATTTTGGATCCAAGCCAACAATTTATACTTACACAAGTACCGCCTCACAAACCATTTCTAGTATTTTTCACTAGAAGAATGACTGACCTCTCTTTACAAGGCAACACTAGCCGATAAAAAATGAGCTCAGCCAATGGTTTCAGCCTGGATGGTAAGCTAACTTTTCCAACTTAGCCACTTATATGGAAATCTCCATTTGCGATGTTCACAAGTTTGTGTTGTGAAGCAACTTACCTATTTGTCCCATTGCATATTTGCCTGTGGCTTTTGTTTAGTGATTCCAATTTTAAATTCATTTGCTCCAGTTGGCATGGTTTCTGTTGTGTACCTGTACCCGTCCTTGAGTGATAATTTTATGCTGCATTTATCGTACTTTATATGGTATGATGATCTTCATACTAAATTGAAATATTAACAAGGGGCAGGAGAGTAGAGCTTCTGTCAAAACGTAACAGCTTGGCTCACCACAGGCTGCCTTTGCCCTTTGCTAACAGTTTCTTTATAGTGTGTAGAATAATACTGCATGTGCTGTTAACCGATTTACCTACATGTCTCATTGCATATTTTGCCTGTGGGCTTTCTTAAGTGGTTCTGATGTTAACTTCACTCGTTGCATTTAGCATGGTTTTTGATATGTACCTGTGCTTGTCATTGAGTGGTATTTTCATTCTACATTTACTTAGTACTCCCTCCGTTCGGAATTACTTGTCGTAGAAATGGATGTATCTAGACGTATTTTACTTCTAGATACATCCATTTCCGAGACAAGTAATTCCGAACGGAGGGAGTATGTGTTATGACGATCTCCATAGTAAGTTGAAATATTAACATGGGCCAACGACGGTGGAACTTCTGTCAAAACATAACGGTTGCTAATAGTTGATTAGTTTCTTTAGGGGTAAAAAAAATACTGCAATACACTTCTCCTGTTGGGTCCATGTCCTGAATTCTTATTGGTTAATCATTTGTTCAGTAGGACTTATCCTGTAGCCTAATTTGACACTTGATGTTCTCATCTTTGCTTTGTAGGGCTTCCAAGGTGGCCCGTCAGGAGATGTCAACGAAGTTCAACTGGCCGCTGGGTCTAGCTGCCGTGCTCAAGAATGGTGACAAATAATCAGATGATGAATACTAGCTAGTCACTGTTTTGATATCAAGTGGAGTTTCCAGTTGAGTAATTCCTGTAAGAAAAATAGAACATCATTGTGTATCCGATGTCATTGGTTAAACTGTTCGTTTCAAGGAATAATATTGGCATACACTATTACTCTCTCTTGATATGTTTTATTCATACAATGCTGCTTTTACTTAACTCTCCTGGCCATCTTGCCGAATATGTTCCATTGTATTTTCGCTGCATTGCTAATAATACCAGGGTGTGCCACCTGTATGTTGCATCAGGAGTTACTGAAATCTAAAGAACTTGCAGATAAGAGGACTCTGTTGTTTCTTTCTCTCTCTTCCAAATCAAGCAGTTCTGGTTAAATTTCTGCCGCTGTTCACTTTCTGTAAAGCCGTGGTTTAGTGGCACAAACTGTAATTCCTGACATATATCTAGCTTGCTAGCCATTTCACGTGCTGGGGTGGGGTGGGGTGGGGTGGGGGGGGTAGTACAAAGACTCTGAAGCATCTGGTGACAAAAACTCTTAGACTTGAGCACGATTTCTTCATACCATTATTAATACCTCCAGATCTAGCCATGGCTTTGAACCAACCAGGTAGCTTCAGGGCATATCTCCACCCTAACTCAAGTTAAGCCTTTGCCACAGGAAATTTAGAACTTTTGTAATGCCTTTATCATATGAAATTTACCAAATAAATGCCCATTTTTTGTTGTCGAAGAACAAACTAGTGAAGAACTTCAACAACAGAAGCTCTTTTCATCTTCTGAAACTATAATGGTAACCAAAACTCCGGCCAGCACCCTTGGTGCAAACAAGCTATGAAATCTACAAAGCGTGATTTTTCGAGGCAAGCAAGCTATATCTACCAAGCATAACCTTGAAAAATCTATTATACATCTATTCAAGCAAATTGGGAATCATGCCTCTTTATACAGACCAAATAGACAGTACAGTTTCCCAAATACTCCCTCCGTCCCATAATATAAGAACATTTTTTACACTACACTAATATCAAAAACATTCTTATATTATGGGACGGAGGGAGTAGAAAAGTTAAAGCATTACTATACTAGAGTAAATTACATGTAACTGGCATCACACCACTAGCTGGTCAATGGAAGAAGACACAAGACAGATACTCTAGCCGGCCAATGGAAGACAACGTTGCCGAAAGTACTAATTCAGATGTAGTCTTCAAATTCAAGATTGTCCACAGGCTCCTAAAATCACACTTTACAAATCAAGAAACAGTGATCCCACGATGCACGTAATTCAAGACAGTTCGTCAACTCCTAGACCCACACTATCAATCCAGAACAGACTGATCCCCACAATGCACATAACTGTTACAAATTTACAACAGTAAGATATATACTAATTTGCTACCAAAATCCAAGATTTCAGGATTGTGAGTCCTCTCAAGATCATTCTCTGCAAATTTAAGAAACAGCCATCCCACAATGAACATGACAGATCCAAGTAAACTAGAGGAAAGCAGGCTTGAACTAGACAAGCCATCATCGCTTAAGAAACCCGTGAAAAACACTATTGCATAGCACAATCAGCACTAGCAAACCATAACAGGGTAAGATCACATAGCATGAGCACTAACAAACTACACTGGCATCTAGTCACAGCCAATGAAACATATATTGGTACATGGTAATAAGATAAACAAAAGTAACTCATCCCTGGAGTCATATCTTTCACTCAGGGAGCCCCAGATGTTCAAACAAGCAATAATCATATATTGATACACAATAATTAAATATACACACCCAACATAACAAACACACCACAGCCTTATAAGCACACAGCAAGAACACGAGAGCAACACCAAAGTGCAAATACACCCACCTAAATCAGTACTAGTAATTTGTAACATCAAGCAGAACAGATCCTCGCTATAGCACATATTTGATTCTCTAAATAGGTTCCAGTTGGTTAATGTATCTGAGCAATCATGCACATATCACAATTTTCAAGTGAATAACGCTGTTTAACATAGCATCGACATCCACAGCATATAGATATACCTACTAATCAAAGTATCAAATTCAAGTTACACAAGAACACAGGACAACCCAAGTAGATGCTATCAATCAGAGTCATGTTCATCATATCAATATGGAACCACCGCAAACACAAACATACCGCGGCAAGCACAGATTACAGGACCGATCTCCGATTCAACAGTTTCTCTCGACGATTTCTAACTAGAAAAACACGGGCAGGCATCCATGGTTCAGGCGTCGTTGGCGGAGGGGGTCTTGGATCCGACGCCATACTTCTCCTGGAGCCTGGTGATCTCGTCCTCCTTCTTCTTGATGTCCGTCTTCTTGGACATCCTGTTGAGCTGCGAGTAGAGCACGATGAGGTAGCGGTTGGCGACATTGAAGCCCGAGAGGTGGTCGACGGCGTTCTTGGCGTCGTAGATGTCCTCGTACACCACGTACGCCGTCCCCCGCGTGTCCTTGGCGTTGCCCAGCCGGATCTGCCGGATCGCCCCGTACTTGCCGAAGATGTCGTACATCTCCTCGCTCGAGATGTTGAACGGCAGGTTCCGCACGAACAGCGCCCGGTTCACCTCCGGCGGCAGCCTCGCGTTCCCCTTCCTCAGGCTCGCCGCCGCCATCTCCGCCGCCGCCGCCTAGGGTTTGGTCTGGGTCTGGTTGGGGGCTCGGTGGTGTCTGGACCAAATCGATTTGGGGGTAGTTTCCTCCCTCCTCTCCTCCTTATTACGGGGGACATATCTTACCGACCTCGGAACGGATAGCCGGCTGACGTGTGGGCCCGGACGCCGAAGCCGGACCCACATGGCGGTGAGACATGTCTGAGCCTAGGGAGTTTCGACTCTCGAACGTTCAGGACTCTTGCACGAATCTTGGCGCATATTGGCCCGCCTCCGTCCTCCTAGCGCGCCGCCGGCCTCTCCCTCGGCTGAAACTCGAAGCTCTTCCGCGCCCCCGCTCGCCCCCCGAACCTTCCAGAAGCTTCCAGCGCGCAGTTGCCCCGAGAGCCGAGCGGCATGGCGTCGGCCATCTCCGCGGGGCCCACGCCGCCGGCCGCGGCGCCGTCGTCGGTGGAGTGGCACCAGCGGCCGCCGAACCCCAAGAACCCGGTGGTGTTCTTCGACGTGACCATCGGGTCCATCCCGGCCGGGCGCATCAAGATGGAGCTCTTCGCCGACATCGTCCCCAAGACCGCCGAGAACTTCAGGTAGCTGCACCCTCGCCGCCCCGCCCTTAAACCCTAGGTTCCGTTTAATTCATCGCTTCTGCTACTGACGGATCTCTGCTCTGTTTGTTCTTGTGGTCGCAGGCAGTTCTGCACTGGCGAGTACAGGTGAGGACTAGATGCATGCCCGGCTGGTTATTGTAGTTGCCGATAGTATGCTTATTTCTGTGGCTAATTCTGCAACCCTGAATTCCTGTCCCACTTAAACATTTAGCCTCCTCGTGTGAGTGTTGCAAAAGCTTGTATTAGTATATATCATGGGTAACTTTGTTAAATTAACTGGGGGATTAGTTGGTGCCCAAAGTCCATAGAAAGAACGAACAAGGATGAATTTCTGGCTTGACATGCACTCTACTTCCCACTGTTTGTTATGATTGATGGGCAATTTTAGCTTGTAGAGTGCAAGCACTTTGGAGCATTGTCACTTGAGCATTGGGTGATGCACTGATGCTTGCTCCTCGCTTTATTTTTTCTTGTGGTGCCTTAGTGTTCTGTTTTGTTCTACTGATTGTTGGGGTAGTGGAAGGGTGTGTGTTCGGATCTGTAGTATAATGTACAGAAAGTTTAGGTGGGCGCATAAATTTGGGCTGAATGCCTTCTCCTTTTGCACATTTGGTTGAATGCTTTTTTGAATATGTAATTGCTACTTCTTACATTGATGGTCATGACATTGGTGGGAACATTGGTCTAAGTAAACACAGTTTGAGTATTCCTTTTGGTAGTGGACAGTGGTTGTTATTTATTTCGTTCAGGAAGCTATGTAAATAAAACAATTACTTGCAACTGCAAGTCTGCAATTTTGGATGGTTGCATTAGTATTTTTATTTGGTATGCAGCTTGCTTAGTTTCAACATGCTGACTGCAGGAAATCAGCTATTCCACAGGGGTATAAGGGTTGTCAGTTCCATCGAGTGATCAAAGATTTCATGATTCAGGGAGGTGACTTCGTAAAGGTTTGTGCATCTAATAGCTCCATGCATCAACAGCATAAATTAACATAATCTTTTAGGCATGCTGTTTTGGACTGTGGCATTTATGTACATTGATGCGAGTGAACTTGAGCTGTTGAATTATTTAATAATATGGTGCATCTTGCTTTGAGCCTATATAGCTTATGGTGATTTAGTTTTGAGTGACCAACCGTTCTAGAGTAATCCCTGCTCAGAACGGAAGTCTTTTGTTTGTATAACTAAAGTTTCTTAATGCCCTGTAGGGCGATGGCAGTGGATGCATATCAATCTATGGCACCAAATTTGATGATGAAAATTTCATTGCGAAGCATACTGGGCCTGGCCTGCTCTCCATGGTATTACATTTCTCCAACTCATTCTCTGAATTGAAACTGATGCCAGATGTTACTTTGCTGATGCCATGTTCATTTGCAAGAGATCTACTGTTTGGGCAAATTATCTTGGTTATGTTTGCATAAAATTTTCTTTCAACTCCATGTATTTTGTATCTTCTCGTGTTTTAACAGTTCTCTTCTATTCCATGTACCTTCTGTGTGGGACTTATGGTAACTGAGTGATCAGAAGAAAATACTCAAATTAGCAAGCCTCTTTTACATTGGCAACCTTCAAATGGTGTACATAATTATGGAGATACTGTGCACAGTAGAAAGTGAACCGTCTAAATTTGACATATATAGGTGTCGAAACATGTATGTTCTTTAAGTTCACTTTCAACATTCACCTACATCAAAACAGACCAAAGCAATCTCATGGCAATGTATTATTTTAAGTCATGGTGAATGGTGATGTGTTTCAAAATCTCATTTTCTGGAAGTATTGATTTATTAATCCTCATGGGTACCTTAGGTTTGCTGTTTAGCTGGTTTTACTCTAGAACAGTTATGTTGCAGTATAAAATATAAATTACTAGTGTTTTGTTTTCCTTTTTCAGCAGTGTCTTGCACAATCATAGGGAATATTCATTAATTCGTTTAAGTTTTTTTAGTTCCATCTTCTGGATCTAAACAGCTATCCTCAATTTTTTTTCACAGGCGAACAGTGGAGCTAACTCTAATGGGTCTCAGGTACTTTCATATTTTTAACGGTTGCATCTTTCCCTTATCTGTTCATATCTGGATTTCCCCTTTTTTGTCTATACCGCCAATCTCCAGTTCACATATTTTCCAGTCAGACTATTACTGTATATATCTTTTAGATTAGTGAAATCTTATTTTCTACTGTGTGTTTGCAGTTCTTTTTAACTTGTGCAAAGTGTGAGTGGCTGGACAACAAGCATGTGGTTTTTGGGGTAAGAGTGCTCGATTTTAATGTCTTGTTGTTTGGTACCAGCATTTGAACAACATGTATGGTACCAGTATTATTTTGCAATTGACAAGTAAATATGTGCCTACTACTAACATGAGGAGACAATGAAACGGATCCTTGTGTGCTAAACTGTAAGGTATCCTCTGCCTTCTGATGGTAGTAACTAACCAACGCCTTGTTATGCTATTTCAGAGGGTGCTGGGAGATGGTCTGCTCGTGCTGCGGAAGATTGAGAACGTCGCGACTGGACCAAACAACCGGCCGAAGCTTGCCTGCGTGATAAGTGAGTGCGGTGAGATGTAGCTTGCTTTTTGAGCGCGGCATGTCCTAGCGCTGCCTTGACATGGATGAAAGTACTGAATCACTGGAAACAGATTGGAGTCTAGAGCATTGCTGTATTAATCTACTTATTGTGACTTGTGGGCATGCGGAATTTGGACTCTGACAAACTGGCAACATGTATCTGTATCAGCCAATGCTGTAGAGCCTTTAAAAAAACGTGTATGGTGTTGAATAATATTCAAAGCAGGAGATGTGGTTTCATGACTTCACTGCCGCTAAATTTGTTGAATATGTAGCCCCCAATTTGTCGTTCAATCAATCATATTCGCTCTGATATACCACCAGACAGTTTTGTTTTTTTGAGCCCTGTCACTATGTTTCAACTGTTCCGGGGTATAACAGAATGAAGATGTTCTTTTTCTGATGGAACAAAATGAAGATGTTTGCGATACCAGGAACAAAGTCCAGTAGAGAAATACTATATCCATCGAGTCATCTGTCAATATGATATATCGACGCAATGCAAGTGGGCTGCCACGAACAAACGAAATACTAAGATACTCTATCAGAAGTGATGATGGATGTCCTCGTCACCACATCATGCGGCGGTCAAACCGCAGATTGCAGCATGAACTAATCAGCGCCAAAATCCTTCCCTGCTCCTGGCTGGTATGAGTACGTGTCTCGGTGTAATGCCACCACGTCGTGCGCGCTCCAACCAGCGTGCATGCCGTCACGTCGCGCTAGCTCGGGCGTTCAGCTTAAAACACTTCGAGGACTCGCTGCCGTCGAGCTCCTAGGGTCTCTCTCTCGGCCACCTCCTCCTTGGGTTCCCGCGCCCCAGCTCGCCACGCCATGCCGCGCACGACACCGTCGAGCCCGCTGACGGCGACGCCGCCGCGCTCCCCGACGGCCGCCAGCCGCCTGGCCGTCGCCCCGGCGTCCCCGACCACCCCGCAGTGCGCCATCCCGGCCTCGCCGCGCACGCCCCCGGCGCCGTCCAGGGCGTCCACCCCGCCGCCGACCACGCCGCGCACGCCGCGCCCGGAGATCACGCTCAAAGAGCCGTCGTCCACGCACGAGAAGCGCGCGCCCGCGGCCGTCCGCGGCCCGCCGTCACGCGCGCTCCGCGCCATCCGCGCGCTGCTCCGCTCCTTCCCCATCATCGCGCCGGCAGCGTGCCGCCCGGCGTCGGCCCTACCCAGGCGCCATGGCAAGCCGCACGACGGCCACGCCGGCGGCCGCGCGCGCGTCACCGGCACCTTCTACGGCCACCGCCGCGCCCGCATCGCGCTCGCCGTGCAGGAGCGGCCCGGCAGCCTCCCCACCCTGGTCCTCGAGCTCGGCGTGCTCACGGGGAAGCTCATGCAGGAGATCTCCGCCGGGGGCCACGTCCGCATCGCCCTCGAGTGCGAGAAGAAGTCCAAGAAGTCGCCCGACGCCGGCGAAGGCGGCGGGAGCGTCAGCCTGCTGGAGGAGGCGATGTGGACGGCCTACGTCAACGGCCGGCGCGTCGGGTACGCGGTCAGGCGGGAGGCCACGGACGGCGACCTCGCGGTCATGCAGCTGCTGAGCACCGTGTCGGTCGGCGCCGGCGTGCTGCCCGGGGACGTGGTGGACGAGCCGCCCGGCGGGGCGGCGGACGCGGACGGCGAGGTGGCGTACATGCGCGCGGGGTTCGACAGGGTCACCGGGAGCAAGGACTCGGAGTCGTTCTACATGGTCAGCCCGGACGGGGACGGCGGCGCCGGCGCCGGCGGTGGCACGGAGCTGAGCATTTTCTTTGTCAGGGTGTAGAGGGAGACCGCGTTGCCGTTGCCGGCGGTAGGAGTTGTTAGTCGTCGTTGTTTCTTTTCTTTTCGGCAGACGTGGCTACCTTCGTGTAACAAGTGTGTGACGCTGTGTTTGTGTTGGTGCATTATTGTGTGACCGCGAACAATCTTGTATGTATCGACTTGTGTAAACGGAATCTATACAGAGAAATCATCATCCTACAAATTCCACCGAAGATAACTGGATTCTCCATGAACAATACTCCCTCCGTTCACAAATGTAAGATGTTCTAGTAACTTTTTCTGAGTCAGATGTATATAACACCCAGGTATCAGCCGGTTTGTGCAAACTTTTGGGTGCAACAGGCCGAAAAGAGGCACCAAAGGTGCAGCGGTTTCTTATGCGGCCATGCACATTAAGAGCAAAAGTAAGTGAACAAAATACGAGTACGAGAGACTTAGGGCAATAGTTTTTTTTAGAATCAAGAGCAACAGTCTTTTTGTAGCAGCTCAAGAGCAGTAGTAAGAGACCAGAACACTGGGAAAAAAACCTTTTTTTTTAAGACAACACTGGGAAAAAGCTGGTACGGCTCTTAAGGCCCACACGCCTATCTCCCGTCATTCAGCCCATGTAGGAGCAAAGTCAAGCCCAACGAGACGTAGTACCTCCCGGACTGCGCGCCTCCCTGGCTCCCTTCACGGCTTCACGCCCGCCGCTGCTGCTGCGCTTCGGTTTTTAGTACCACCTCGCTCAGCGGAGAGCATCGAGCGGGGGAGGTGGCTATAAGAGGGGGGCGAGGTGCAGCGTTGTTCCATACTTACCTGGACGGGGTCGACGGGCGATCAAGAAGGCCCGTGGCCTGGGTCAATGGCCCACATGGCACTTGGTGGGTGCGTTGGCCCACCATCTCCCCAAGTGGGAGAGTGGACGTCATAATTTGTGGTAGAGGGGGTACGCGTTCGCGCGGCCCCTGCCAATTCTTTGAAATTAAATCTTGGTCCTCTGTTTGGCTCGCTTACGAAGGAGTATGTTTTACAATCCAGTCCATTGTCTGGTTGTTGCACATCGAGAGGGAGCCGGCAACGTGTTCTCTGAACGGAGGAAATGAAGATTTCAGTATGGGCTGGATGGAGGGTTCTGAACTTCTGATCCAAGTGCATGTAACATCCGAATCTTGTGCTGTCAGAGGTTGTATATTCTGGTGTTCTTCACCTCCCGCTTACAACTAAGTAAATTTTGGGAACAAACTCACTTCTGCGCTACTAGATAGGGATGAATGAAGTCACTGCAGTCTTGAGCTTATTATAACCTGACAGTTGAGACAGAGACAAGCACCCCGAGTCTAGCTTTAGCCTGAAACTAAGTGAAAGACCAACAACTTCACAATCATACGTGTCACCAACCAAGTTTACTAGCTACCAATTCTCTGCGGTGAGCTGAAAAAACAACACTCCACAGAACTCGTATATTCTGGTCCTCTTTACCTTAATATTACAATCAAGTAAAATTTGGCAAGAACTGAACCTCTACACGTGTGGATAGACCCGATTGAAGCCACTGTCAGTTGAGGCACCCCACACAGTTTGGCATTTCGCCGCGACAAGTTCCTGACACGATACCTTGGCTCTAGTCTCATTTGCTTAGCATGAAACTGATTGAACGGCCACACAGTTTAGAATGTCTCCACCAAGAGTTACTACCAACATGCCAAAAGTAACTGTGGCATCCAGTGTTGATCAGGAGATGTGAGCTGGGTGGCAAAAGAGTGTATACATCCGTCGGCCGGTAGTTTGACCAGTGTAAATGTGAATTCAAGAACTTAAAGCTGCCACGGAAGGGAAGATAGCACGGCTGGCTGGTGGATAAGGTGAGTGCTACGCGGCCGAAAGGTGAGGGAGTGAGTGCTATAGGGTGCGTGGTGCATGAGGCAGGAGAGCTCTTTCCCTCCTCCACACAGAACAACCCAACAACGACCACCATGGCCCTCAGGGTTGCTCCGTCGCCGCTCCTCGCCTCCGGCGGCGGTGCCACCGCCTTCGCCACCCCGCTTACGCCGAGGAAGAGAGGCGCCGGCCTGCTCCTCGTAAGCAAGCGCTCCAGAATCTCGGCGCAGCTCGGTACCCACGATTCCTCCTCAATCTCTCTTATGTTGCATTTTGTTTGAGTCCATATACGCTACGCGTGTATATGCAGGTGGTGGTGGTGGTGGTGGTGGAGATGGAGAGACCAAGCCTGACGGCAAGAAGTTCATCACCAGAGAACAGGAACCGGAGCAGTAAGCAAGCCTGCACCCATCAGCTCTCATGATCCATATTATGAGTTCATCTATGTGTGGTCTGTGGTCAATTGGTGTGGATAAAATGGATGATGATGGATGATGTAGGTACTGGCAGACTGCTGGGGAGAGGAAGGGGGAGAACCCCATGATGACGCCGCTGCCCTATATCGTCATCTTCGGCTTCTCCACCCCCTTCATCATCCTCGCCATCGCCTTCGCCAACGGATGGATCAAGGCGCCCCTCATCCGCTGAGCTCCGGTCGAGCTATCCTCCTCCCCCCTTCCAGCGAGAGAGATGACTTGCTTCCATTCTATAGAGATTGCTGTAAAGCCGTATGTAAATCATTTCTTCAGAGATCTTTATATAGTGGAGTCACCAGCTGCTCTGCACTCATGACTGCATCTGGTTCTGCATAGAAGCGAAAGCCCTGTGTTTGTTAAGATTGTGAGCACTTTCAACAGTTCAAGATCGGTCGATCAAGCAATTGAGGAAAAATATAGAATGGCGTCGGTACCAGCAACATCAAATTTCAACAAGGAGGCAAAGAATCTACACATAAGCACATGCCGCCGCTACAGATTCATCTCAAGTCAGACATACAACAAACAACTAAACCACATTCTAGCAAGATTCATGAGATTCTGCATACCATAGAATACCATCTGCATACCATAAACTTGCAGATAACAAAGACATGTTTTTCGGGCCTAGCCAGTAGCCCACAGCAGTATACAGTTAAAACTTTTGCGCAAACGGACACATCATATGGCAGCCACCTAGCTAGCGTGGTTTCCTATCAAACTCAGACTCACGACAGTGTGGGTCAAGCCAGTCGCGACGAGAACTCTTCGCCATGCCCCTACTATCTGTTGTTACAGCCCCCATGAGCTCTCTTAGGCTTTCCACCTTGTTCTCCTGAGCATTGCCACTGGATTTCCTATCTGCCTCCTTCAGCTTGTTTCTGAAACTCTGCTTGCGGCCAACTGTGTTAAGTTGCTGCTGCTTTGCTCCTGATGGTGGCGCCCCATGAGGTCCCAAGTATATCTTCTCCTCTTTTGCCTGTTCATTCAAATACGAGTTTACACCACTGTGCTAGCCAAGTGGTTGTTCAAGTTACATTTACTGATCTAACGAGGGACATTGCGGCGAAAAGATCTGTAACTCGCCTGTTGAGGTTCAGGATCCCTTGCTTTGGGGACACTGTGTGTAGTAACATCATCATCATCATCATCTTGAATAGTCACATCAGGAATAACAAATCCATCCGCATCTGTAATTGTACCATCGACATTATTAAAAGAACTCAAATAAACCTCATGTTTTGAATGTAGCAGTTGGCACATGTATGTTTGATTTTAATACGTAGAATAAATATGTGCAGAACAGCGTCCCTGCATCAGTGCCACCTTCCACAAAAAACTCCATGATATCAAGTTTCATGAGATATACTATAGTGCAAGCAAGTCACTACCATAACCCGGTACAAGGGAGTTAATAGCATATAAGTCTCTTAATGATTATCATTAATGAACATCTTAAAGCGTGTCAATGCTTTAAGAAACAAAAACAATCTTAAGTAAAAATTACTCGCAAAGAAATGGAACCTAGTTTAGGTATCTCTGTGACCAAATACTGATTAGAAAGCTATGACGTACATGAACAACTTGTGATTATCACTAGATTATACTAATAGCACTCCTTTTCCCAATCAATTAGGATTGTCTACATTGCCTCCTGTCATATAGGAAAGGGCTCATATTTAAGCATAAATCATCATGAGATTCAAATCTTACCCTTCAGTTGGCATCACTGATCACTCGTACTATTATAGTATTATCAGAAAGAGTCATCAAGGTGAATCAGAAGGGACTCCTCATAACGCACCAAGATATCAAGATCGATGACTCAATGCTAATAAACTTGGCATTGACTTGGTACTAATGTGCGACAAATGGAGGCATATATTTTGTGCAATCTTTTTTACATGCTGCTCTCTTCTAACTAGCAGATGTTTTAAAATTTTACTATAACCTAAGCAGTAAGCAAAATATCGCCCAAAGCAATAGTAGGCTTTTCCGTTCCACCTCAAATTCCTCAAAACTGTTCCAACACAACTAGTTTCCAACCAGTTTGTGGTATATTAATAGCATTCCTATTTCCATTCAATGAAGATTTTCTACCATTTTTTCCCGAACCTTGTGCAGATTGTCTACATTGCCTCCTGTAATAGAGGAAAGGGTTCATATTTAAGCATGAATCATCATGAGAAGAAAATTGTACCCTTCAGTTGCCATCACTCCTATTATTATATTATCAGAGAGAGTTGTGAAGGTAAATCAGGAGTGACTCCTCATAACGACCAAGATATCAAGACCGATGGCTCGATGCCTTCCACCTCAAATTTCTCAAAATTGTTCCAAGAAAGCTAGTTTCAACCAGTTTACGGGTATTGTCCCATAAAGGTAGGCGTATAACTTCAACACACCAGGTCTGTTCAAGAAGGGCATGCTTGCTACAGTAATTGACCTATGTCCCAGGCAACTCCCCGATGATACGATGGGTACGAGCAAGAGAATAACAGTCAAGAAAGGCATCACGCATCTAGATTGAACTCCTCTTCAAGACAATCATGGCAGAAGAACATGAGTAGGATGCGCTGGGGGCTTTAGCAAGCTAGAGGCGCAGCAAGAAACAAGGGCGCGGAGCAGACACGGGTGGTAGTTGGTTACCACACTCGTCGTCGGAAGCAGATGCGTCCAGGAGCGGCGAAACGCTTCCGCCGCCGACGGTTTGATATTGGGTTGGTATTTATGTGCAGGGCGGAGGGGACGCTTCCACTTGTCCAGTGGCTCCATACTACTCCCTCCGTTCTGAATTACTTGTCTTAGATTTGTCTAGATACGGAGGTATCTAGCACTAAAATGAGTCTAGATACATCCGTATCTAGACAAATCCAAGACAAGTAATTCGGAACGGAGGGAGTAGTAAACTTGGTACTGGGTTGGTATTTATGTGCGACAAATGCAGTCATATGCTTTGTTTTCTTCAAACTAGCAGATGTTTTACATTTTATAACCCATAAAAAAGCAGTAAGCAATTCCACCTTAAATATCTCAAAATTGTTCCGACACAACTTGTTTCAACCAGTCTGGTTGACATTGCCCCATAAAGATAGGCATGTAAGTTCGACATACCAGGTCGGTTCTTCAAACCTAATTAGCACGACTGCTGTGACTCGTCAAAAATGATACAGTAGCTGATCTATGTCCCAGGCAGCGATTCCCCGATAATACACGGATGGGTACGAGCTAAGAGGATACCAGTCAAGGAAAGCATCACGCATCTAGATCGAACTCCTCTTCGAGACAATCATGGCAGAAGAACAAGAGTAGGACGCGCTGGAGGCTTCAGTTAACCAGCTAGAGGCGGAGCAAGAAACAAGGGCGCGGAGCAGAGGCGGGAGGTAGTTGGTTAGTTACCCCACTCGTCGTCGGAGGCGGAGGCGGAGGCGTCGAGGGGCGGCGGGGACGCTTCCGGCGGCGAACGGGCGGGGGCGGGGGCGGCCGCCATGGAAACCGGAGCGGCGAGGAGGATCCCCCTCCCCCTCCTCCAAGGATACCTACCTCTCGGTTTTGGAATTGGATTCCGATTCCAGTGCTCCATGTCGCCAGTCTGGGGATTAATAACGCATACCGACCATAGTACTGGGCCAGCCCATTTTGCGGGTCTTGCTGGCATCTGGCTTTCGTGTTCTGCTCTCCCATTTTCCTTTTCCTTTCTTTTTTCTTTTTTCTTTTTTTCCTGATCTAGGGTTCCCTCGTTTTGCGGAAAAAACAAGCGAATGCTTTTCTCAAGTGCAGGGGAAGACAAAGATCAAGTTGCTTGATGGCACAATCAGAATTGCATTTTAACATTTTTATTCTGAAAAGCATAACACTTTTAAAACGTGAACATTTAAAAATACATGTGAACATTTTATTCAAACAAGAGCATTTTTCAATCACATGATTTTATTAAAATACACGATCATTTTTAACACTAAGACAAACATTTTCTCCAAGTATATGATTTTTTAATGTTGTAATACACATATGAATAAAAAATTAAAAAATCTCAATTAATTATTTTTATTATTTGGATATATGACCATTCATTTTCCCTTAGTACTTGTATTTTTAATAAATTTAAGTTGAATGACATAGTGATGCTTTGTGGCTCGATTAGAAACACACCTACCACGACATACTACATATTATAAAATAGTACACCACTTTGATTAATGTTGTGTTTCATAGCAATCACCGCTTTCTGCCCCTCTAGCATTCCTAGTCTAGCTCCGCCACTCGTAGCAATGCACTGAGCACTTTGCTAGTTCCTCTAATGTAGTATAGACTTTTAACTAAGTTTTAGTGAGAATGATTATCATGAATCACAAAACATGGAAAATTGGCATTTATATCCTATCTAGTGTGGCATGAAAGAACTGTAATCGATTAATGTTGAAACGTCATCAACAAGTGAAATCTATAGTTGTCACCAGCATGAGGGGGCACCGTTGAGGGCTTTCAACACACCCTAACATCCACACTTGGTCACAGGCTCCACAACAACCGTAGCTGAAGAGTGAAGCCGAGAAAAGACACGGGAGCCAACCAAGTAGCTCCGACATCCAGGAAAGCTCTAAATCTGGGGGTCACTCCCTCAACTAGGTTCAATGAGAAGGAGCTATTATCATGTGCATGTGAAGGATGAGAAAACACCACTTGAGAAATTTGGGAGGGGGGAGGGCGAGATATGAGGAAAGAAATACATGCTCAACGCCTAAATCAAGTTCCTCCGAACGGGGAGGAAGTAGACAAGAAGAACCATCAAGGATTGCCAAAGGAATAAATAAAGGAAGAGGGAGAACAACTTTGGAAACTAGAGAAACCAATGGTAGGTGATTTAATTTAGGAGTAAAATAAATAGTAACATATGCACGTCATCGACTAAGGGTGCTACCACCATGACCGCCTCGCCAAAGACAAACAAGAGCAACAAGGGATAAAAGAACTGGATCTTAAAGATCTATACCAAAGGGACTTGGGCTACCCCCGTACCCCTCGAGAAAGGCAATCACACGTACGTAGGGTTTCCCAACTAGATTTCACCAAAGGGTTGGCAGATTGAATTGAAGGACAAAGGCTAACATTAGGCGAAGGCCGGCGACGAGAACTTCCTAACTTGAGAAACTTCCATAAATGACATAATCAAGGAACAAAAAACCTAACTACACAACTAGGGGCAAGGAGTCGCCCTAATCACCACCGGTTAAAGCCAAGAAAGAGGGTGAAAAGATCGATATAGTTGACTAGAGGGGGGGGGGTGAATAGGCAACTAACAATTTTTAGCTTTTCTTTACCAATTTAAACTTTGCATCAAAGTAGGTTGTCTAGATATGCAACTAGGTGAGCAACCTATATGATGCAACAACAACAAGCACACAACCAAGCAAGGGATACAACACAATATAAGCTTGCACAAGTAAAGGCAAGAGATAACCAAGAGTGGAGCTGGTGGAGACGAGGATGTGTTACCGAAGTTCATTCCCTTTGAGAGGAAGTATGTCTCCGTTGGAGCGGTGTGGAGGCACAATGCTCCCCAAGAAGCCACTAGGCCACCGTATTCTCCTCACGCCCTCACACAAAGCGAGACGTCATGATTCCACTATTGGTGCCCTTGGAGGCGGCAACCAAACCTTTACAAACAAGGTTGGGGCAATCTCCACAACTTGATTGGAGGCTCCCAACGACACCACGAAGCTTCACCACAATTGAACATGGCTCCGCGGTGACCTCAACCTTCTAGGGTGCTCAAACACCCAAGAGTAACAAGATCTGTAAGGGATTAGTGGGGGGAATCAAATTTCTCTTGGTGGAAGTGTAGATCGGGGCCTTCTCAACCAAACCCTAGAAAATCAACAAGTTTGATTGGCTATACTGGGGAGAGAGATCGGGCGGAAATGGAGCTTTGAGCAACAATGGAGCTTGGGGAGGGAAGAGGTGGTCAACTTGGTGAAGAAGACCCCCCCCTTATATAGTGAGAGGAAAGATCCAACTGTTACCCACTTAACCAGCCCGTGACATACGGTACTACCGCACACACTCATGGTACTACCGCATAGGCACACGGTACTACCGCTCGCGCGACAGGGGCCAGACGAGGCCCTGTTGAAGGAAATATGCCCTAGAGGTAATAATAAAGTTGTTATTTATATTTCCTTATATCATGATAAATGTTTATTGTTCATGCTAGAATTGTATTAACCATAAACTTAGTACATGTGTGAATACATAGACAAAATGGGTGTCACTAGTATGCCTCTACTTGACTAGCTCATTAATCAAAGATGGTTAAGTTTCCTAGCCATGGAGAAGAGTTGTCATTTGATGAATGGGATCAGATCATTAGAGAATGATGTGATTGACTTGACCCATCCGTTAGCTTAGCACTTTGATCGTTTAGTTTGTTGCTATTGCTTTCTTCATAACTTATACATGTTCCTACGACTATGAGATTATGCAACTCCCGAATACCGTAGGAACACTTAGTGTGCTGTCAAATGTCACAACGTAACTGAGTGACTATAAAGATGCTCTACAGGTGTCTCCGATGGTGTTTGTTTAGTTGGCATAGATCGAGATTAGGATTTGTCACTCCGTGTATCGGAGAGGTATCTCTGGGCCCTCTCGGTAATGCACATCACTATAAGCCTTGCAAGCAATGTGACTAATGAGTTAGTTACGGGATGTTGCATTACGGAACGAGTAAAGAGACTTGCCAGTAACTAGATTGAACTAGGTATTGAGATACCGACGATCGAATCTCGGGCAAGTAACATACCGATGACAAAGGGAACAACGCATGTTGTTATGTGGTTTGACCGATAAAGATCTTCGTAGAATATGTAGGAACCAATATGAGCATCCAGGTTCCGCTATTGGTTATTAACTGGAGATGAGTCTCGGTCATGTCTACATAGTTCTCGAACCCGTAGGGTCCGCACGCTTAACGTTCGGTGACGACCGGTATTATGAGTTTATGTGTTTTGATGTACCGAAGGTAGTTCGGAGTCCCGGATATGATCACAGACATGACGAGGAGTCTCTAAATGGTCGAGACATAAAGATTGGTATATTGAAAGGCTATGTTTGGACATCGGAATGGTTTCGGACGAGTTCGGGCATTTACCGGAGTACTGAGGGGTTACCGGAACCCCCCGGGAGTGTATGGGCCTTATTGGGCCTTAGTGGGAGAGAGGAGGAGGTGGCCAAGGTGGAGGGCGCGCCCCCCAAGCCCAATCCGAATTGGGTGGGGGCCCGCCCCCCTTCATTCCCTCTCTCTCCCCCTTCCTTTCTCTCCTACTCCAACAAGGGAAGGGGGAATCCTACTCCCACCGGGAGTAGGACTCCCCCCTTGGGCGCGCCATGAGAGGGCCGGCCCTCCCCCTCCTCCACTCCTTTATATACGGGGAGGGGGCACCCCATAGACACACAAGTTGATTGTTTTAGCCGTGTGCGGTGCCCCTTCCATGGATTTCCACCTCGGTCATATCGTTATAGAGCTTAGGCGAAGCCTTGCACCGACAACTTCATCATCGCCGTCATAACGCAGTCGTGCTGACAAAACTCTCCCTCGACCTCAGTTGGATCTAGAGTTCGTGGGACGTCACCAAGCTGAACGTGTGCAAATCGCGGAGGTGCCGTACCTTCGGTGCTAGGATTGGTCGGATCATGAAGACGTACGACTACATCAACCGCGTTGTCATAATGCTTCCGCTTACGGTCTACAAGGGTACATGGACAACACTCTCCCCTCTCGTTGCTATGCATCACCTAGATGGATCTTGCGTGTGCGTAGGATTTTTTTTGAAATTACTGTGTTCCCCAACAGTGGCATGCGAGCCAGGTCTATGCGTAGATGCTATATGCACGAGTAGAACACAAAGGAGTTGTGGGCGTGGGTATATACATATTTCTTGCCGTCACTAGTTGATTCTTGATTCAGCATTATTGTTGGATGAAGCAGCTTAGACCGACATTACGCGTATGCTTACGCGAGACTGGTTCTACCGACATGCTTCACACACAGGTGGCTAGTGGGTGTCTGTTTCTCCAACTTTAGTTGAATCAGATTCAATGAACAGGGTTCTTTCTGAAAATCAAAAAGCAATCACTATACCGCGTCGTGGTTTTTGATGCGTAGGTAATAACGGTTCTTGCTAAGCCCGTAGCAGCTACCTAAACTTGCAACAACAAAGTAGAGGACGTCTAACTTGTTTTTGCAGGGCATGTTGTGATGTGATATGGTCAAGACATGATGTTAAATTTTATTGTATGAGACGATCATGTTTTGTAACAGAGTTATCGACAACTGGCAGGAGCCATATGGTTGTCGCTTTATTGTATGAAATGCAATCACCATATAATTGCTTTACTTTATCACTAAGCGGTAGCGATAGTCATAGAAGCAATAGTTGGCGAGACGACAACGATGCTTCGATGGAGATCAAGGTGTCAAGCCGGTGACGATGGTGATCATGACGGTGCTTTGGAGATGGAGATCACAGGCACAAGATGATGATGGCCATATCATATCACTTATATTGATTGCAATGTTTATCC